GCTGTTGTAAAACTGTCAAAAACCTTAATGAAATGTCGAGCAGGAGATTGGCTCCCTGGCCTGTTTTAATTAGGAGGAATGCACTTAAATCATCACTCCTGAGATTCCTCTTCTCTTAATCTTCATACGAGCTTTTATGATAAGCAGCCTTTGGCAAACAAAGCCAAATCAACCAGCTTCTGTTTGGCTGATCATAGAGGCGGCTAATTTGCGTTTACGGGGCTCTGTATTGATTCAGCCAATGAAGCCTTTATATTTCCCCACATGGCATAAACATCTCATGTTAACTCACCAGCCTGCTGCTCTCTGCCTCAGCTTTAATGAGGATTTTCATTCATGAAAAACAACTGGAGGGGAAAAGCTTTGTCTTGTTTGGTACATAAATCAGTAGAAAATCTTATAAAAGGCAAGACCAACAGATTTATTAGCACGGTATTTCTACCTGAAATCATTTCTGATTTTGACTCGGAAACATTGTTCTTTCAACAATAACTTGCGGTCATATTCAGCCTCACCAAGCAGATCTGTTTGCCTCTGCATCACTGCAGGACAACACTGAAACTCAACTTTTCTTAATTCTTAATCATAATGGTATTTACTGCATGTTGGAGACTATAATGAATGAGTAGCATTATTGTCTATGATATGATGTTTGCTGTGCTGGTATTGCAAACTACATTTTGACGGTGTGAAGGATTTGGCAAGTTGTACTTTTGAGTTGCACTTGAACATGTGATATTCATCTGAGAGTCATGAATCATTGTTGACTCTGAAGACAGTAGTTGACATTGAGCTCCATTCGGTTGAGTTGGCCCAGTTGTCATTGGAGTTTAGATGTAAAAACTCAATGAACTTTTAGTTTAAACTTTTACGCCAACGTGGATGAGAAATACATACACCATTACAATTCTGTGATACTCACAGAATAGTTTCATGACTTTTCTCTGTTACGTCTCACTGCTGCAAGATGAAAACCGAGACGAGAGCTGTTCGTTTTCAGAACAAAAGTTCTCCAATGTTTTTTGGAAAAGGAGCTGAAAGACGGAAGCTGAACATTCGCGGCACGTCGGGGAGCACAGGAGGTCTTTATTGAAAAGAAGCAGGGCAAAGAGCTTCTTTATTCACGAGTGGAGGGCTGCCTTTCTGCTCCGCTCTGCTTCACATCACTGCTGCTCTCATTGTTGATTGTACTTATTCTTATCGTCTGTTGACTCTGATCGTCCCTGCAAACCTGACGATTGCAATGACCCCTGTGTCTCCTTTTAGGGGGTTTCTTCTACCTGAGTTGCAGCAGCGCTTTGATGAGTTGTTGCAGAACGTGACTGAACTTAACCGACAGAAGGCAAATTAAAATTCTCAATTGCTGACATCTGGGTCCAGGTCAAAAATGTTTTTGCATAATGTGGCCATTAACTTTCACTTGACTTGCAGAAAATGAAACAAGAATTAAAAATCTGATCACGTCAAGTTTTACCAGTATATGATCACAGTCATGGAAGGATTACTGAGTGGGCCAAGGGGCCAGAACCTCTGTTTAAAAGAACTCAAAAACAATTAAATATTGTCTCAGGGTTAGGGGCCCATGTTCATACTGTATCTTAATCAGCATGTATATGTTGTTACTGTATCTCCAGCATCCACCCGTCCCAGAGAAGGTAGGAAGCCATTAGCCAGATTGGACTGTCTGAGTTCATCAGCAAACTGTTACTTGGCTGTGATTTATACGGTCTGAGTCTTACGTCAGACACACACGATGTAAACAACGGCTGTCTCGAGGCTTGTTGTTTTTGTCGCTGGTGGAGACGCTGTCATTGTTGTGTTGCTAGGAGCTGCAGAGAAACACAGAGTTGGATTTGACAAGAAAATGTATGTTTGGTAGAAGCTTTTGTCTGTCTCATAGTAGAATTGATGAATAGAGCATTGTGTGGAAAGATCAAACACAATGTGAGTGTGTGTGCATGTGTTTGAAAAAAAGATAAGCCACATTTATTTAGGAAATATGGAGTTTTCGGTTGAACTTCAGCTCCAATTTCTTAGCAAAACCTCTGTGTAGACTACAGATGATGCATTTGAAAACAGCGCTGAAGCTTCAGCTGTCATTTCCTGTGAAAATGTTGAGATATTATGGAAAAAACTGTTTGGTGGAATAAAACCAAAATGGACTTTTAATGGAAATATTGACAAAATCATTTATTCATTCGTACTAAAATTATTTGATAAAATAATGTAAAAAAAATCCTCATCTGCTTGTATGAGCAAATATCTCTATTGGTTTAATTTGTGGATTAAATCTGGCATTTACTTCATGATGATATTATATATTGTATAGTTAAATTTAATCACAAATTTGTCTTAAAATAGAACAATTATAGACTGGAAACATGGCTAAATGTGTCCTGAAATGTTAAAAAATGAATGAATGGGCATGAAAAAATAATTTGAACAAACCAGCTGAAAACATGAAGGACAAACAAGGACTGTGTGTGTGTGTGTGTGTGTGTGTGTGTGTGTGTGTGTGTGTGTGTGTGTGTGTGTGTGTGTGTGCTCTTACACCCATTGAACCGATCAATATCCCTATTCTCCTCCCTGTTTCCCTCCACCCTCTCTCCACCTCTTACCACTCCCTCCATCATTGATCTTTTATCCTCCCTCTCCATCCATCCATCTCACGTTGCCCTTCGTCTGTCTTTTCTCTCAAAAACCAAAAGATTGAAAATTCACCCGCCATCTCTTGGTATCTGCCCAAGATATTTGCTATTAATAATAATTGTTATGTCATATTCCTGTCATCTTTCATCCTCCTCTTCCTCTCTCATCTCATTTCCCTCTTGTCTTCCTGACTCCACCTAAGCCTCCCCTCTCATCTCCTCTCCTGGTGTGTATAATGTAATTGCAGAAATCTATTCACTGTGTGAGCACGCCGTTGCAGCCCTGGCAGATGAAAGCGTTTGGGATTTAGCAGCCGTAACGTGATGGGAGTAGGAGGGGGATGTTAGCTATCATTGGCAGAGACGAGGGAACATGGTTTTGAATGTGTGTGTAGGTGGAGGATGGGATTATTTATTCTATATACACTTGTGTTTTATGTCAACGTGTCCTCTATTCTCTCTGTAAAGGAACAATTTTCTAAAAGTTGAGCCCTAAAGCTCTAGGATGAGATGTTCAACAATCACATATGGGTGTAATATTTAGGTGTTGTTCACATACTTTTGGCCAAATAGTGCAGCGTTCAATTTCAGAAAATAATTCAGAAATGGAGAATTTGAGCTCCGAATTACAGGCTTCAGGGCGGTTCCACGGAATCAAGGAGCCTCTTTCAGCACAGACATTCAGTGATTACACCGACAGGAATTTATCAGCACAGTGGCCAATTTCTACGCCCACAGCCTCAAGAAATATAGACCAACATGCATCGCAGCCACAGGACACATTGGGTAGTCAACAATATTGATTTTTCTCAACTGACCAAAATAAAAGCCTCCCACTTTCTTTTACTCCACCTCCACATGCTGAGTGCAACAGGTTCATAAGCCTTCCTCTGTGCTGTCAAAAGGGGTTTCTGGGAAATGTAGGAAATCACAGACAGATTAAAAGAACTCGATGCTCTCTATCACAGAGTACTGATTATTTTGCGCGGCAGTATCAGAGGAACTATGTTGATTGATGGCTGGACCACTGTTGGCCAGCGTGTCCTGCAGGGAGCAGAGGAAGGCTGGCTTGCATAAGGAGCTGTGGTTAGCTTGTTAGCCTGAGATGAGCTTGACATTCACGGTCATTCTCCACAGAGCCCGACTGGATGCTTTCGCTCTGCTACTCTTTTTTCAGTCTGTATGTTTGGAGAGTTGATGTCAGTGCTGCTTCCTCCAGCAGCCTTTTCTTTAAAAAGGGAAGCCATGCTGCTGTCATTTCTGTGTTTGCTGTTTCTGGATTCAGGAGTTCATCAATGAGCCTGAAACCATGGCAACAACAAGTGTGTTCCAGCCGAGTGAATCACTTTTTACACGCAGTGCGTTTCTGTATTTGCTTGTTTTTTTGCAGCTATGTGATGTCAAATTGGTGAAGATGTTCTCTTAATTTGAGCTCTCATTGCCATGTAGTTTTGTGTTTCCATTTGAACACAAAACTTGAAGAGAAATCAGATTTCCATTGGACTATAATACGTCATAATGCAAAGTCCTTTTTTTAGCCTTGATTAGCTAATTGGCTGCTGTTTTATGCCCTTTTTGTCCATCTTTATTACTTCTATCTTTAGACGGTTTCCTTCTTTGTTTTGTGGAAGACAGTTATGTCTTCAATCCTATCTATAACCTTTAGTTCTTCTCTTTTTGACTCCCCTTCTTTTCCATCTTTTCTTCCTTCTTAATTACCAACTGTTTCCTCATGAAAAACAAAATAAAAGAAATAGTAGATTATTGTTTAATATGTATTTACCTTCTCTGTCCCTTCCTCTCAGCGAAGGTCACAGCGTTTACTGATGATTTAAATCTCTCAGCGAACACTTCAGGTTTCCGGTCGGTTCTAACTAGCCTCCAGAGGACCATTAACATGAGCCTTCAGGTTGGGAAGTACAGTGTGTGTGTGTGTGTGTGTGTGTGTGTGTGTGTGTGCAGCGTCCTGCTCTCTAGCAGGACGCTGTAAGGACAGGGGGACATCTGTATGTTCGCCAGGAAACACCACCCTAAATCTTTTGTAGATTGTTAGTTAGACATTTTGGGGAAATTTGAATTGAATGTGCAGTTGCAACGTCTGGTTGAAGCCTGAAACCAGAATGGAGGGGGCTGTTACAGCTGCAGATTTGTCCATATGGGTATAATGTTGGCGTGTCCACTTTCGGCCATGTGGTGTCTTTCCAGGAACTGCCGTAGAGTTTTCTTTGCTGCGGCAGGACGCAAACTCAAGGTGTAAACTCAAAAGGTGCTTCTGACCGTCCTTAATAAGTAATACCTTTGTGTGTGTGTGTGTGTGTGTGTGTGTGTGTGTGTGTGTGTGTGTGTTCACAGCTGTGCCAGCAGCCCCGGTGAACGTGTCGGTGACTCAGCTGAGGGCACACTCGGCCATGGTGACCTGGAACGTCCCTCAGGGGGACAATGTGATCGGGTACTCCATCTCACAGCAGGTACAGTGAAGTTGTAGCATCACTGTGTGTGTGTGTGTGAGAACGTGAACATTTACTGTCTGTGGTAATGAGCTCACAGACGGATTTGTATTAATTGCTTTAATCCTCAAAAAGCTTGGAAAATAATGAGTTAATCTGTCTCTAGTCAGATTCTCCCTGCGCTCTCTTCTGGTTGACGGACAATTCAATTTGCAGGGAAACGGATTGAAGCGATATCATTTCGGAATTGAACACCCAGAAAACTTGGATCGCTGTCATGCTTTGGGTTAGAAAACAGCTTTCTTGAAGTTGAATTATGTATTGTTTTGTGATCAGCTTTAGCTTTTTAAAATGCTGCGTCATTCATGAAGCCAGAACCTTTGAGCTGTCTCCTTTCATAGCGTCTGAGGAATACATTCATTAAGCGGGTTAATGTCGAGGCCGGCTGCAGGTTGACGTCGGTACTTTTTGTAGTGATCATAAAAAAACAAATCTCCTGATTACAAACATTTCCAGCCAAAAGAAGAAGTGGAACTTAAGTATCCAGTTAGCAAGAAAGACTTCACAAATATTGGTCATGGAATTGGTGAATTTAAAATAAGAAACACGGTATAGACCAGTGGTTTATTCCAACTTAACATTGGATGTATATTGATTATATAAAGCAATTATGTTTTCATACAATTGATCATTTAGTTTGGTCAAGTTTGCATCTGAACTACTTGGATTTCAAACTTCTATTTTTTACACTAGTTGCACAAACACAGTCCCCCGGCAGCTGCAGAGGCTTCAGCACCCTCTTTGTACTGCGGTTAAAGTACATCTGGTTGGGAAACGTATCGTTCTGCTCATATATCACCACATTTTGTCCGTCTCACATCTCCTGACACCCTGGCTGCTAACTCAGCTCGGTTCATTCTAATCAGTTTTTACCACCCACACTTTGGCAGGAGGAGAGTCAGACATTAGCTCATCTCTGAGTGGGAGTCGTCTCCATTAGTGGAAATGATTTGGCCAGGACTCGTCTCACAGGAGGAACATCCACGATGCCAAACAGCTCTTCTCTTTCTTTTCTTTTTTTTTTAAGTCGTCTCACGTCTGACTCAGAATCCATCAACCTCGTGGCATTTGCAAGAAACCAGGATGGGGATGTAAAACATCTCCTGCCATAACCTCAGAAAGCTCTCATGTAAAATCCTTACTCAAATATTAATAGGGGAGGTGATGGAGCAGGTATCCATGCAGGATGTTAGTCATCAGAAGTGGCTCAGTGAGGGTGAAGATATATATAAGGGCTGAAAATATTAGATGCAGTTATATAAAATCATGCATATCTTCAGGATTCTGCTTTTAAGGTGTAAAAACCAAACGGCACTGATCTCGTGTCAGTCTGCAGGATTGGTTTGGACTCGCATATACCGGCTCGCTGCAGGAGATTATTTCATACACACTTTGTTTCAGTAACAAGCTGAGCCTTCTGTTTGTGAAGGAGAAGCAGTACGAGTGAGACAAAGAGCTGCTTCACTCATCTGAAGTTGTTCCAACTCCCAGAAGCTCCGGCTGCTGAGATTCACACGTTACGCAACAGCGCTTTCTCTCTCTCTCACTCACACTCTCTCACTCACACACACACACACACACACACACACACGGAGAGGAAGTAACCCAATTTGAGATAGTGTATTTAAGATGCACAATAATCCTGTTTCTGAAGCATAAATCCCAAACTATCCCAAGGTTAATTGATGATTACTGTGTCGGTGGACGTTGATTAAACGAATCCATGCTGTGTCTACAGGCGGCGTGTTTCTAAACCGGCTACAAGAAGAACACTGTCAGCCCGTGACAGAGACAAGCAACTGTTTGTCTCCCCTACTTAAAATGTGATATGTGGATTTTAATGAATCCGTCTCAGAGTACGGCACAGTGTAGAACAATGATGTTTGTGCATGAATTCTGTCCTAAATACTTTTTTTTTGCACCAGCAGAGTATCTCTGTCTGTACATGTGTTTCTTCTGTTTCTTCCAAATGATTGGTGGTGCTACCTAGCCTGCAGACCTAATTCCTCCCAGTGGGACAGTAACTGTTTGAGCTGAATTTATACGAGTGAAGCGACGCGGCTCGTTAAAGCTGGTGGATTAAATTTGCATTCATGGCGTATGTCTTGAAATGTGGAAATAATGATGTTCAATTAGGAACAGCGGTGCAGCGGCTTTTCATTACATGTCCTTCATCTGTTCCAGAGGCAGGACGGCCTGATGCAGCGCTCCATCCGAGAGGTGAACACGTCCAGTCGCTGGTGTGTGCTCTGGGATCTGGACGAGGACACACACTACAGCGTCCAGGTGAGGCGGGCGGACACACACACACACACACACCCCTCTTAAGGAAGCTGCCTCGACTCTTCTAGTTTGGGTTGATCTGTTGTCATGTTTAAGAAGAGCAGATATAAGGGTACGGCTGACAGTAGATACCTGATTTAATAATGATAGTTTACCATAAAGCAGGTTTATATCCTGTAAATTCTTAGACAACATAAAAGTTGACATTATTAAATAGTCTGGAAAAAGCTGATAAATAGTTTTGAGGAAAAGCACACATTCAACTGAGGAACCTCATTGATGATAAACTGCATTTTAGAAATTGACTTTTATTCTTAAACCCCCTGTGTTTAATTAACAGAACATTTTCTTTATAGAGCTCATGGTTTCTTGAATCAAAAGCCAGCAAAAACTACAGCTACCCTCTAAAGGAAGAGTATCTAAAGTGACTCCATTATCATGACTCTATTAAACTTTTTAGAATCCATTAAAGCTTAACGGACAGATACAGATTGTCCTTCAGCTGGAGGACTCAGTTAAATGTGCTCGCCAGCAGGCGGATGTCCTTTAGAAGAGTCGGTGAGCAATGCACTGATGAGAGGACGGTAAAATAAGAGAATTTATTAATGGAGTTTGGTGAAGGATTTGGTCATTTAGGGGCGGGTTGCAGAGCTCAAACTTCCAATTGGAGAAGTTTTTTTTTTTTTTTTTTTTCAGAAGGACAAACTCTTGGATATTTTCATATTAATTAAGGGACATTTGTAAAAAAAATGTTGTAATTTGCTTTAGTTTACTGGATTTCTCTCCCTGTATAATTGTTGAATATAATATTTTCTGCTAACTGCACTGAAGCTGCTAGAAGAATCTTGATAATCTGTTTGAATGAAAAACACCTCATCAAACTTTATTTCTTGCTAGTTGCTTCATGTTTTGCTTTGCTGAAAATGTTCCCAAATGAGTATTTAGCTGAAATCTTTATTCCCTCTTTTATCTTCCAAGCTTTCAGTCTGCTTCTACATTTACAGTTTTGCACGTCCTCCACTGATCATTCATGATCCCGCCCAAAAACCAAAGCACCATTTGCTCGCTAAATATACCCTCGCAAGCCAGTTTCTTGTCATCGTTACATAATCCTCAGCTAATGTCAGCTGGGAATGTACCCAGTGTTGAGTTGTATAGAAGTCCAACTACGCTTCCTGAAACGTATGAGCAGTGCTTCATGTTTTCACCTAAAGAAACTGGATCTTTCTTTGGGGGGTTTAGGTGCAGTCTGTTGGGCCGCAGGATGACAGCCAGCCCAGCCGTGCCGTCCACTTCAGGACTCTGGAGAAGAGTGATCATTATCCAGCCGGAGTCCTGGACCACAGTAAATAAACACACACACACACACACACACACACACACACACACACAGTATATACACATTTATTTTACGTTTGAACTTATTTCTTTTAAGAGGAAAACAGGAAAAAACTTCACCTCCATCAATCTTGTACTTTCATATCTTCCCTCTTTAAACTAAAAAGACTATTAGTGCAGTACTTATATCTTCCTCCTGAGGTAAGGTAAGAAGTAAAGTTTGATGCTCTTTGGCTTTCTCGCTCTGAAGCTACAGCCAGTTAGCTTAGCATAAAGATTGGAAACAGGGGAAAAGGTTAGCCTTTCTGCAGGTATTTTTCACACAATTCTTTTCTCATATGAACTGCTTTTTTTATTTGTTGCATTTTTATTTGCACCACTTCCAACATGATTGGCTTTTTATTTACTGTCATTTTGTATTGTATATATTTTTATTATTATTTAGCTGCTAGTTATTTAATTATTGATGTATAAGCGTGTTTCGTATTTATTTAATTTTTAGTTTTTATCCTTCTGTTCAAATAAATGTGTATGTTTCCATACTTTATAATTATATCCATGCGCACTACTATTACCAGCAGCATTGATACTTTCTATACAGAGACAATGTTTTGTTGTCGGACGGTTATATATTTCATGTCAACAATGGGAAAGACTTGTAACTTTATACTTGTCTTTTTTTGTATGCTCATTAACAAAGATGAGAGAAAAATCGATGAAGTTGTCCTTATTTGTCCTCAGATGAGCCGGCGATGGAAGGTTTGGGCATGACTCCTCACTTACAGACGGGAGAGCTGCTCATCATCACCACTGTGCTGCTGCTGTGGGCAGGTCCGCCTGGATGTGTGTGTGCGTGCGTGTGTTTATCAGTGGTGGAGGAAGTATTGTTATTATTAATTTAAAAAGTCCTTTGTGACTGTTCTACTATATGTTCTATCATTAGATTAGTATGGCTCATGCATTCATGTAAAAGCAGGATTTTACTGTTGGAGTTGGTTGAAGTGGAGCTCATTTTGAACTATTAACTGTTTTAATAATGCATCAATGTGCTGAATATTTTCTAAATTTATCAATTGATTGTTTGGTTTGTAAATATTCTCAAATGCTGCTTTCAAAGTCATATAAATATGTTAGCTTGTGTATAGGTACAGTAAGGATGTATACTGACTGTTCATTTCTTTGTCCTGCCCTCCACGTCTTCATCATCTTCCTCCCCAGCCGTCATCGCCCTCTTCTGCCGACAGTATGACATCATCAAAGACAACGACTCCAACAGCTGCAAAGAGAAAGCCAAGAGGCCGCTGGTGCGAGCCCCTCCTCCCTACTACAGCACTTCAGCCGGCAGCTCACCCATCTACCACAACGGAGCCGTACGCAGCAGCAGGGTGACTGATTTCTTCTCCCTGAACTTCATTAACACACCTTCTTCTCCATCGCCTCCATTCTCCATTTTGTTGTAGCACCGCTCTATAATGCACGATCAGGAGTATTTCCTCTCTAAAGAGCCTTTGTAGTTCCATCACAGATCTCCTAGCAACCAGAGCTGCTGCCATCATGGCTCAGTATAAAACCAGCAGGCAGGGAACAGGGAGCGCTTGTTGGGTTGTTGCTGTGTAATCAGTGACATGCTCAGTCAAAGTGAGACGGCGGAGTTTGAGGAGAGTCAGACCAGTCAGTCAGCGGGAGCAAATCACTCAGTTCTCTTAAGATGAAAAGGGGTCATTTTGAAAAATCAATGAACATCAGAATGTATTTTATAAAACTTATGCAAGATCTGCTACGAGGGCTGATCAATCACATTGAAGGTACAAGGTCTGCTTTGATAGTTTGTTTATGGTATTAAATATTAAGTAGTTGGCTTTTATTTCATAACTACATTTAGATTGTATGGACCCAGTAGTAGAGGTGAAGTGTTCACCACTGTTTGTTTGCAGCATGTGGCCAGATGTTACACATTGCACCTTTTAAAGGAAGGTATCCTTCGTCTTCATGTTATATTGTTTATATGCAGATGAGACAGCTGTATTCTACATTCATTGCTTGTGTATGTCTAAATTAGAAACGTAGTAATTTTGCATTGCTTTTGGTGGCAGTCTTTCAGTGACAGAGTGAAAATGTACCCGTACTTAAAGCTTAAAAAAACTTAAAGCGTGGTTTAATAACCAAATATAACCTTGATGAGATTTTGTTAATCAGTTACTTAAACAATGAGTCGTTTATTGCTGACTAATTGTCTCTTCATCTTCATAAATTACTCCTCGAATCACTTCAGCTCTAATGTAATGAGCTGCATTTGAGACAAGAGATTATTAACCGTTTAATGTCTTCATCTTTCCCCTTAAGTAGCTCTAAGATAGGAAAAATCATCTTTTTCCACTCTATATCATAACTCTGTATATTTGTAAATCATTTTCACCCAAATTCGACCTGATGTGTTGGTATCTTTGAAAAGCATCTCTGCTTGAATTTTAAAGAAAGTAAGTTTGAATAAAGTTTATGATGATGTAACAAGGTTAAAGATTAAACTGGACAATGATTAATTACATAAATTGGGTATAAAATGCAATTAATGCTTAAACTGTGTGGTGAGGATGCATGATAATGAAGAACGATGTCAGATTTTGAGGAAAAATCCATTAAAAAGTTTTGGCAAAAGCTGCCTCAGGGCAGAGACGAGTGGAAAACAAGAAAACAAGATGTGCCAAACATGATTCATTTTAAGTCTGGGTGCCTTGATAACAAGGAGTGCCTCCTCATCATCCCCAAAGTAAGAATTATTTCTTATTTTTCCAGCCAAAAACTGAATACAATCAAGTGAGAACTTCAACTGAGCCGGTGTGAAATGTCAAGCTTGCACAGGTCATCGATTAGCTCATAAATCTTTAACAGACGTCGTATATAATGTGCATGAGGTCACGTGGCGCTGCATGTGAATAAGGCCCGCACACATCCTTCCTGAGGTTTGAGTCATGTTCATATATGTGACCCTCTCTGTTCATGACTCATGTACTCTCTCTCTTTTAGCTCCACAGAGCCTCCTCCTCCATCAGCATCATTAGAGTCTGAGTTTGGGTGTTTGGCTTTGAGACTCGACATCTTGCTGTACAACGCAGGACGGACGGAGTCAGTGATGTGCGACTTTTGCCTGAGGAACTTCAGTGGGATTATCATGACAGATGAAGAATTTATAGACTGAGTCTAAATTATTGTAAAATATGGGGGAAATATGAAACACTCCATGCAAATGAACTGTGGAGTAAATGGATGACTACTGCTCTCTAGTGGCAGAAGACGGCAGCATTAACACGTGCAGGTTTTCAAGGAGGAGTTCAGCTCGAGGACTTCTGCCCTGCAGCCAAACTCATGTCCTTTTTTATTTCTATTAACCTTCTGATTTTAAAGACTAATTGTGAATATTTGCATGTCGGTCTCAAATGAATTCAAAAGCTCTGTGTCAAGTGTGTGTGTGTGGTTACATTCCAAATATTTAGTTTTTTCTACATTCTAATTCATCTCATCTGTGTTTTTCATCTCCTAATTAATAAAACTAGTGTATTATATGTACATAGTTTAAATTGAAAGTATTGGTAATTTAAGTATGATGGAAATACATATTTTAATGTATAGGATGATTCATTTTACACTAAATTTTCTTCAATTAAATCAAGTCATAATTTTAGCATTTAGTTAGTCATGACATTTTTAATCAATCTATGATGACTAAGCATACTTTCCAGCCTGCATTGTGTGAGTTAAAATGCAGCAGCTGCAAATCAAGCTTAATATATTTTTTTCTCTATATGTTTTTTGGGTTGGTATTGTTGAATTGTAAATGACTTAAACTACAGGGTCAGAGTATAATAATTCAGGCTGCTATGGTCAACATTAACTCAGCTTTAGCGATGCTGCTGCAAGATCTCAGGCCACAAAAATCCAAGTTGTAAAATAATATAAACTAATATTACGGCAGGAAAGAAGTCTGAGCATCTAAAAAAAAGCATCTCTCCTATACTCTGCTGCCTGATAAGTATATCCTAAAACTGCAATAATTAATACTTACTGAATGAGACGTCACGTCGGTCAACTCTCACCAGATCAGCCAGGTTCGATGTGCATCGGGAAGCAAATGCATCTGCCCCCTTTCTTCAGTAAATTATTGGGATGTAGAAGAAATCTTGGCCTTAAGAGGGAGCAGTCTGTTCACATACATGATGGGGTTTATGGGTCATTATCACTGACAGCTCTTTCTTGAATGTACCACATTCAAACCAGTGATTTTGAAAAAACAAAGTGCATTGAAAGCTACAATATATATCGTCTCTGTCATGGTCAAATCAAACTTTTTTATTTTCATTGTATTTCCTTTATTTGTGTTGCTCCAGATTAGTTTCAAGTTACCATCATGTAAACAAAGATTATGTTCGTGGATCAAGTGTCTGATTATAATTTCTGACTATTCTCCAGTTTCAATAAAAATGAAATAAATGATTTCATCAGTGCATGCAGGATGACCAACAGGTAAGTAGATAATGGGCTGTTTACATGTAGACATACAGTAGATGGGCATTTTTCTGGAATTAACATTTCAATATGGACAAACCTCAGCAGCAGTTTCCTGTCAACACTGGAGGAAAAATACATCTAAAAATCAAACAAGATAAGCAGAAAGGTTCATTGATCAGATACCGAAATGATCTGCAGATTCACATTTACTCCAAACAAAAGACACAAATAATATGAATTAAAGGATAACTATGTTTCCTGACAACTTGTACTGTTATTGTTGTAGTTTTCTCCTTCATTTCTATCAGTCACAACAACATAGAGCCCGTTCATAGATAAGATCTGGGAACATGGTGACGTCACCGATAAGCCTTCTGATTGATCGAGACACACAAGCGGTCGGATGATCAGACAAGTTGGAAACAAAGCTTCAGGTTAAACAAACTTCTGTGAAAGAGACGGTAAACAATATGTTTATTACTGATAGAATAGAACAGAGTTATCTTGTAATGTCACCAGGGGTCTTTGTTTAGTGAGAACAAGTCACAACAACATGTATAGAAATGATTAAACAGCATGATAAAAAACCCAAATAGATCACCCTTTGAACACAATCCTATCCAGAAAGGGAAGCAGACGTGTGACGCTCTCCTGTAAGAAGCGGTTCCTCCTCAGGTTCACCGTGATGGTGTGAGCTGACGACTGCTGAAGCAGATAGTGAAGAAGCTCCCAGTTCAGACAGAAGCTGCTCAGGTCTCCACCAACCTTACTCAAGAAGGACCGGGTCAAGTCCTTGTCCTGGATCTCATGGAGGAGGGAGAGCAGCTGCTGGAAAGTCTTCTCACTCAGTCTGCAGATAGAAAACGTATGAATATCTGTTAGAAGAGTCCAGGATGAATACATTACATCAGTATGGAATATTTCTACCTGATCGTTAGAGGGCCATCATGAAGCAGCAGTGGGAGGAGACCCAGAGCAGGAGCACAGAACTCAGTCAGGTCTAACCGTGTGACTGTCCAGTATCTCAGCAGGGATGCCAAACTACTGACAACCTTCAACAACACTCTCTGTGACGGCTGGGCTTTCTGAGGGGAGAGAGAAAGCTCTTCCACAGCCAGCCGACGGCCCGCTTCCCTTCTTCTTACCCATCGACACAGTAGCAAGGCCATGTCGCTGGAAAGCCTGGAAATAAAGAAGAATGAAGTCACACAACTAACTGGACATTCACAGTGGAAAGGATGGAGTCATTAGAACTAAAGGCAGTAAAGATATCAATGCGTACCTCAGACTGTGTACTTGTGTTGCTCCTCTAAAGAGGAGGGAGGCTCCTCTGAGAGACATCTTTCTGGGTGTGAGGATGAGATCCACTTCAGAGCCACAACGTCTGAGAACCGTCCCCACAGACCAGCAGGTTTTCCTGAGTAAGCCTCCCGTTAACCGGAGGGTGAAGCCCAGCAGCTGCAGCAGAGAGGACAACTGCTCGGCCTCCTCTCTGGATCTGACACAGATCAACGTACACACTGTCTGGAAGAAGTCTGGATCACAGCTGAAACAAGATGGATGAAGTGTGAAACCAGCAAAGACACACTGCATTATAAACCATCTCATGAACAATGTCTTTCATCAGGGGTGACATTTAGAGAAAACAGAGTGTGATGTAGTATTGGCTGTGATATCACAGATTAAAATACTGACATTCTTCTTTATGAAGATAAACTTCATAAGTCACCATATACATTCAGGTACAAACATGAAATGTGACGTCTACATCTAACTGATCCTCAGCAGTGGGCGGAGTCACTAAGGGATCAGTGTCTCGCTCAAGGACACTTGTAAGGGTTCATGTAAATAACAAAACACCGGTTATTATGAGCTGGGTCTTTTTTGACAAACGTCTTCTGAAGTAAATACATAGTATTATAAAATATGCAGTATTAGTCAGAGTTACCTGAGCTGTGAGATAAAAGGCAGACACTGTAGGAAACTCCTCACTTCACTCTCTTCATGTGAGCAGCCTCTCAGCTTCACTTGTTTCTTCTCTGGTTGGCGTTTCAGCACTTCCAGGAGGATGGAGGTCTTTCTCTCTGAGAGGTCTATGGACCAGACTGAAGGAGCTGACTGGGAAAGTGGCTCAGTTTTGGAATGACAGCTGAAAACCGTTTAGTCTCGACATGCTGATAAAAGTCAAGAAGGGTGTTATTTAAGTCATTTAACACAGCTTTTTTTAAATTCGTATTAATTTATCCTTTGAAAACATGTTTTTAAATTAGACTGGACTTAATACTGGAGAAATAACTGACTATTGTATTCTGTTGGTTAGGATTGGATTCTGTCACATCAGCTAATATCTTATTGAAAATTGAGATAAACGTAGTTCGTATATTATTTGTTTATTTAGGGTACATTTGCAGTTCCACAGGACGACCAATAGAGGGCGCTGAGAGCCTAATTATACTGGACATAATGCTCTGATGGCTGTCATCTTATTTCTCCAAATTTTATAGCCGCACAGTCAGACATTTTCGTAACTCAGCAATGCTGAGACGGAGGCAACAGACAACTAGGATGTAATTGTAAACCTCACCTCCAGTGTCTACCTGCAATAGTTCCAGCTGGATATCATCACTGTGCTCTGGAGTGCAATGGGCTCCTCAGATCTGTCCATCAGCTGCTGCATCCTGGGCCCCAGCTGTTGCTGTGTCACATCTTGTTTACACCAGGGGCCAGCGCTATGTTTGACCTAGTTGCTGAAAAGCCCGAGAGGCAAAGTGGAAAGCACACTACACATAACAGACGTGGGGGAAAGAAAGAAGCCATTTTGTGATAGACGACAACCGACATTTGTCGTTTGGTGTCAATTAGGTGGGCTGAACATAATGAGCAACCGTCAGTTAACTACTCCAACAACTAACAATGGGACAAAAGGCGAGGTCAGGCATGAGAGACACTTTCTCCTTAAAATGTATGGTTTACATCAAAAGAGCATTTTTGTTCAATTTTATTGTTTATCCACAAAGAGCCAATATGAAGCACACAACAAAGACGAGCTGAGCTGGTTCGGGACAAGGTTACTAGAACTCACGGTATCAATGGAGACAGGGTTGTTTCTTTCAGTTCAGGAGGTTTTATTAGGTTGTATCCCTTACAATGGCAACGCTGTGATTTTGATTATTAGAGCCCATTAGTTGCGTCTCTAAATACTGTATGTTAAATTTCATAGAAATGGCAAATTCAATCTTTGAAACATTAAGCCGCCATTGTTTTGAGCCGCACATCAAGTCCAATTGAAGCGTATAATCACAATGACAATATGGAATATGTTTAGCGTTGTCAGAAGCTGTATTTGAACTAAACATTGTGGGAGAGGCCATTTAAATGTTACACTAGCATTCACTAAAAGACTGTTTGCTGAGAAATGGAACTTGCGTCATTTCCCCCCCGTTGAAACAGTCTCACACACACTCTCACACACTCACACACACACACACACACACACACACACACACACACACACACACACACACACACACACACACACACACACACACACACACACACACACACACACACACACACACACACACACACACACACACACACACACGATTGTATATTTATACCTATGAGGACCCTTAATCACAACTGAATGCCTACCTCCAGCCCTTACACTGAACTGAACCCAAAACACTCAAATTGGTCCTCACAAAGATAGATGTAGAAGTACACAGGACAGTAGCTGGTGAGGCACAACGTTGTCTTTTAATTCTGATGTGAAGCAGTTTCCATTCAGTTAGAGAGAAGGGTGTGCGCGCGTCCGGGCAAAGACGTGACCCCTTTATCCTCCCAGTTGTGTGAAGTCCCACCTTCAATGTCCAACAGGCAGCACGGCAGCTACCGTCATTGGCTGCGCGAGTCCTGAGTCACATCCTCATTCTGTGGTAAACTGAGCAGCTCCTGGATCCTTCGCATGTCCTTGTTGGTTTCCTCTGCCTGAGAGCTGACGTTCAGATCTCCAATCAACTCGTCTGTCAAGTGCAGACGGGCCGTCCTTGGGATTTTAAGGATGGAGAGTGACTGGTGAGCAACGAAACGCATCACGAGTACAACAAACCTGAATGTAAATTAGGGTTTGTGTTTTTTTTTTTTTTTTTACATGATTAAAATCTATAAAAACATCTCACCATTCTGCGAGTCTGAGCTCAAAAACTTCCCTGCGTTCTCTCCTCCTCCTCTCTCTGGCAGTTTCTCCTGCAATCGACTGCATGCTGAAGATCAGCGCACCAGTAGGAATCCTGAGCAGAAGTTAGCTCATGTTATTAGAAATAAGCTTATTCAAATGCTTTATACAGTATAATTGCATTAGAATACAAAACTGAAAATGCATTTTGTACTTCTATTGTCTGAGCACGGCTCATCAGCTGCTGTCATGTATGAAACCATTCTGCTTGACACTCTACTGGACACATCGGGTATGTAATAGATTACTACTTCCTGTTATCGTATAAACTGTCACAGCGGCTACTTTAATTGCATAATCCTTCTAGGCTGTCCGTAGGTTGCACCATTGTAATCATTTAGGGCTAAATTTCCCCTCAGCTTTGTCTTACAGAGTCCGGCCCTCCTCTGCAGCCCCTCCACCCAAACCTTCCAGTCACACCTCTGCCGTGTGGCCCGGTCGAGAGGACGATTCTTGGGCGAGATCTGGAGCGTGATGTGCTTTCCGATTAGCTGCCTGCTTTTATTTCACCCCCTTCCGCCCCGACTGCACCTGGCGCAGCCGTGGCTGTTTGCACACATCAAAATGCTCCAGGTGGCTGGTCACTCAGGCAGACAGCGGAGGAGGAGGAGGAGGCAATGAGAGTACAGAGCCAACAGGAGAACAGACTACGGCTGAGCCAACATGGGGCTGATGATCACAAAGACCATTCAAACCAGCCCCTCCAGTCTGTTACACCATCAAACACCTCACACTTAATCTCCATTACACAATCAAATTAAAATCTGCTCTTGGCTCTGTGCGCACAGCTGAACGCGGCCAGAGGAGCGAGTGAAAAGTGGGACAGAGAGGGTTGAGGGGAGAGAGGAGATGGAGCGAAGCATAAGTCCAGATCAGACCACGGTAGATGGAGATGAGAGGCTGGAATAACGGAGACGGTGTAAATGGAGAGGGGCAGCTGCTGCCTTGGCCTGCCTCCTTGCTCTAGCACCCAGAACATGGCCCTCTGCAGTGCACATGAGTCCCTCTGGCAACGTGATCAGAGTTGAGGGTGGGGGTGGGGGTTCAGCTGGGCGACAGAGGGTTGCTGGGAGGGGCACAGCTGGCTGCCAGAGTGCTCACTGCTCCCAAGCACACGGGCACGAAAGTGGACACGAGCAAACATCTTCTGTTTAGAAATAAACGCATAGCGGCTTCTGACGATGCGACTCTTTGGGTGATAAGGATCGACACGCTTCCGGGTAGAAACTTAGTTACTGTAACAAGCCGATGCATTGGGACTAGTGGTGTGATCGATGGATGTGAAGGGACACTTGTGGAAGCACTTACCCCAGCACGGCTCCGATGATCGATCCTGCCACCAGACCCCCCAGACCCAGGTTCAGTCTGAAAAGGCCTCCAGTCACTGCTGCTCTCACGCACAAACACACAGTTTTAATATCATCATTCATAACCCAATTTGCTGGTATACGCACTGTTGTCATCAGCTTAAAGAAGGATTATAAAAGTCTTGTTATTATTGTCAGTACCAAACATTTTACGACTAATTATGAGCTTTTTAAGAGCTGAAATGTTAGTGTCCAGGCACAGAGGAAATTGGACAAAGATCATTTCTGCACAATATAAAATCACATTCTTTGGACAGTGGAATTCTGGAGTACTCACTTTTTTACTAATTATTTTCTGGGCATTGTTATGCATTATTTAGACAGCAGTGGTAGAGAGACGGGGGAACAAACAAATGCAACAAAGGCTGGTACAACGGTCCTAGGAATACACTCTCTGGTGGACAATAGCCGGTTCATATCATCATCTGACAGATAATAGCACATTCTACAGACAGACTGACAAGTGTTCAACAGCATAACAAATGATATTCCACTCCAGCTGTTATAAGACAGCAGAAAATACTGAGATCGTACCGAGCAACTCCCAGATGGAGACGTGCGACAGTGAGGCAGAATGTTTTGTGACACAAGCGTGCTTCGTCAACTTTTCTTGGATAAATAAAATGTTTTATAAAAAAATAGTTGTGCAAAAGCCCCGTTGAAGCCCATGTGACTCACCTCCAGCTGCAGCGTAATGGCTGAGGGTATACTTGTCTCTGTACACAGACAGCCCTGTGCTGACAGAGCTAGAGAGGGAACGGAACAGACAGACGAGGGAAAATAAAAACGATCAAATCAAAGCATAACATAACATTTTTTCTGGGATTATCCATTTGTTTGCTTACTTGAATAAGGTGACAAAAGCAGCCACTCTCCAGCTCCACCTCCACCCGTACCTCACGAAACCCCGGATTGCTGCATTATGGGCCGAGCGCTGATTCAGACAGAAAGGACCCGTAGAATGATACTTTAACATTAAATGTTCCCAGTAGTGCAGTCATTAACGACTGGAACACATGTGACGCATGCAGACCCGTACGTAGTTCCCTTTCTTCCGCTTACCACTGCTTCCACGCGGCTAGTATAGATTTCCGCCTGGTTGAGTTGGATGTACCTCTGCCTGGCATGGCGAGCCGCTGGCAGGCCTCCGTAGAGCAGGCCGGCCAGAGCGGCAGCCACACCGCTCTTTATCACGTTAGTCAGCTCCTCTGGGTGCCGCTGTGTCACGCTGCAGGGAGACGAGAGGCAAACTCTGTGCCACTTATTCCTCATCAAGACAAATAAAACTGTCCTGACAAATAATAATAATATTTTTCACAGTAAAGAGTACGATTAAATGATCGTTTGGTCCAAAAACAAATAACAATTCTGCACACTTGAATAAGTGACAGTGGTGTCGAAGGTAAGCATAACTTTACAATTTATAAAGTTTATTTTAAGTGGTGAATACTGCCCAAAAACAACAAAATTGATGCAGAAACTACTGGCTGTTTTTTAAGCAGTGCTCATAATATGTAGAATATAACTTGTTGAAGAGAGCAAGGTGACACGGGGGTAAAAGAGGAGATGAAGAGAAGTCAAGAGGGAACAGAAATACTAACTCTTTGTCAAAGAGGTCCTTGATACGGTCCCATCCTGCATCTGGGAATTCTGGTCTGCCCATGTGGCTTGGCATGCTGATGGGTGCAGGACTGTTGGAGGAGGAGGAAGAGGAGGGCATCTGTGCAGGCTGGGCAGCAGCCACATCAGCTGCCTGGACCCTGGGGAGCAGGGGGCAGAAGAAAGGGGGCCCGACGCTCTGGATGAGGCCCCGCAGTAGGCCGGTGCTCAGCGTGCCCCAGGGCGAGGAATCTGCCCGTTGTCTCCGCGGGGCGAAGCCCGTTCCGGGCTGCTCTGGCTGCATCACGCTTCAGCTGGCATCGGGGCTGCAGCAGAGAGGCAGAAACACATGGTCATGGGTTGGGGATGTTACACTCACTCTCTGACTTGAAAACTCCATCCCCAAAACAAACAGCCTCGAGGCGAGTGAAACCCTGGCAGGGGTACATTAGGACTTCCAACTCAGCAGCTGTTAAATTGTGCAGGACCTATCAAAACACACTGGGCACACAAGCAAGGCTTTCTGGGTAAATATTTATCTATTGACTTTAAAAAGTCTCGTGACAGTTTTCAGCTGCCTTCAAAGAATAAACAGGAAGTAAAAGAAACAGTTACTCCCTGTTAGATCCAATCTGTAGGCTACTTGTAGTTTGCAGACCTCGTTCAAATTTATTCATGCATTGTATATATATATATATATATATGTGTATCTGCTATATCTTGTTATCCTTTGTGTGTGCCTGTGAAACACTTTGCTGCTCGCTTTTTATACCAGTTGTATAAATAAGCTTTATTATTATCAACCACACAATATATGTCTTTAGATTAAACCTTCATCGCACAACATGAGACTAATCGAGCATTAAATATTACACAGAAACATAGATTTTCTACAAAACGTGGTGTCTGTCCTGTCCAGCGACACATTTCAGTTATTTGTCCTCATTTCTTGTGTCATTAAGTGAGAATACATAAGGCAATAGAGTACCAAAAACAGTTGTTTAACCAGTAACGCTATGTCTATTTGAACACTCATTGATAATTAAAGTCACCTGCACAGCACGTGCAGACTTCACCCTTAATTAGCGTGATATTGTACAGCTGTGACAGGTCAAACTGCTAGAAGCTAGGATAACTTGTATTATTTCTAAACACTTAATACTACTTGACATTAAAAATGCTAATGAAAAATGACATTAATATTTCATTCCTTGCTATTAGCTTCTGTCATATCCATTTTAAAAAGACTTACCAGCACGCGGCGCGTAATATCTCAGCAATAAACCCGTCCGTCTTTTGAAGTTCCGCAACCCCAGTAGATGCGCATTAATTGTATTTAGTGTCCACATGTCTGTTTTTCATAATTGTCTTTCTGCTGTTTGTTTCTCAACGGTGACATTCCTCTAACACAGCCGGGCTTTCGACCTTCCACCTCGGACACACACACGAACCAAATGTGCCAACAGCGCCGCCCCGTCGGTGGAGGACTAACCACTATTCTGCACGCGATGTGCACTCCTCGCGACATTAAGATCTGGGTCCGGGATGTTTTAAGAACCAAACAGTTTATTTGCATACAAACAGAAAAAAATGCAGCACGAGCGGCAACATCATCACAGCCTTTTGGTCAAACACACACAAACGGACCGTATTTACCACAGTTGTCAACAACAGTGTGAGGATCTGCTTGTTCACAGCACAATGTGAATATTACAACATATCCAACATTATCCCGTACCAGCTATCTCTCAACACTAAGACATTATCAAAAAGGTACAAAACAATACGCGTTTCTTTGAAACTCCACACATCAAATTACTATTTCCTTGTTGTCGTTATTGCCTACTGTTGGCACTTAGGGAAGGTATTTAGACATAAGGCAGAACCCCTCCAGTTGCAGACATTGACGTCACAATTTCAACACAAGTAAATTGAAAAGTACATGGATATGACGTCGTCGTGACAGTTGGTGAAGGAGTTTCCTCAGTCGTCCAGTAGAGGGCAGTGCCTCCCCAACAACAGAGTCCATGTATACGTACATTTTGGCCACTTTACTTCTATAGGATTAGGTTGGATGTCGAATATAAACCATATCCTTCTACATACAAAAAGTCCAGATGAAGAAATTGCAAATAAGTGTTCCATATTGTGCAAACCACAGCGTCCGAGTTTCCAGGTGACCCTCGCGATACAATAGACTGCGTTAAATATGTAACAGCGTGGCACCCGTAACTAGTATTATTATTGGTACATCCATTGCGGATGTTTGAGCAGCAGTCAACATCACACTTCATGTATTTAGAGTTTAAGGTGTGTGATATTTTCATTGGATTTTGGCGAGCGGTCTGCAGGTTTAAGGTCAATTCAGATTTTACTCGAGCAAGGCACTAAACTTCTTATGCGTCGAGTTAGCAGATTTTCATGGATATCTGTCTGAAGCTTCGTCCAGATGTGATTAATGTTACACAACAATGTAAAGTCTTCACATTGCGCGTTAAAGGGTCACTTCAGCAATTTAGTACGTCACTTCCATTAAGTTGGGGGACTCGTAGGAGACAGATACAAAAAACTAAATAATGTTACTGTGCTGGAGAGTATAGACTGAATACTAAAGACGGGAGTGACTCAGAGCCCCCAGTGGCACCTGCAGGTAGTGCAGCATTCAGTCAGCATACGAAACTACATCTGTGACGAAACAAATAGCGTTAGACGAGCTACATTTAGGAGTGAATTTGACAAAAAATGGAAGGCCAACGTCGACACGTCACGCTGCTTGTGAGGGAAATACGTTGTGGTGCAGTGATTGCATTCATTCTCTGGAGTTTTCCCTTCACCACAGCGGCCCTGGTCCCGCCGATGTCTCCCTCTCACAGCTCCGTCTTGCCGGGTTTGTGGACAATCTGGTTGTAGCCGTCCTTTCTCCCGGGTTTGTAGCTGAGAAGACGGCTAAACTCGGTGAGGAGTCTCTCCCAGTAGCAGGAGACGTCTCGCATCCGCAGGTGGTCCAGGATGAATTCTTTACCCCTGTGGGGAGGGAGAGGAAAAGAAAACTTCATCACTCACCTTTTTCAGAATACAGAGCTGCTCCAACCCCAAAAAAAAGACCCGTTTACCTCGTGGCAATCTCCTGCGCGACGGCATCGTTCTCTTGGACGAACTGGAGTAGCTCCCTGAGGAGACAGAACATGTGAAGACATATCAACATTTAGCGTGTGAACTTGTACATGAAACTCGTCAGGTTTCTACTACCGTCACATGTTGTCTTTGTATGACGCCGACATACATTCATAAGACTAAAAAAGTACGTCTGTAAATGAAAGTACGCTTTATAATGTGGACGGGGGGCAGCAGCAAAACCTGTTTTAGACACCTAAAAAAAGAATCAATATCAGCTTAAGTGCACGCTAGATTTAGAATCCTTTCACCACTTTACCTTCTCATCAGACCGCCCTTTCTGACGGGAACTGAAGCCGTTATCTATGCTCTCTATTTAAAGCCAGACTCCTCTCATCATAGCTAGCTGAGGTACCTGACGTCAGAGAGGTCCTGCTTGACCGGGATGTAGTGGACCCAGGGCTGCAGCTGAGGGTAGAAAAACTCCTGCCATTCATCCCCCACATGAAACACCAGGGAGCCGCAGAGGAAGAGATGTTTGAGACGGAAGCTGGCCGCCACGCCTCGGAAGTTAAACAAATACCTGGGGAGGACACAACGAGGGTCGGGCGGGACCGTTAATTCAGTGAAGCGGTTGCCGTCTAACGAGCTGCCTTCTTGATCAAGAGTTGGGCTTACTTGTATTTGCAGTGATCGACCAGGGGGATTTCTTTGGCCGGGGGTCTCCCTAGTGTGTCCTAAAACAGACAGAAAAACATGGGTTGGTAATTAAAAACTCAAGATTCCTTTTGGAATATAACAGAAACATCACTATAATATCTTATACAGTGGCTTTGTAATCATTATGTTTGTATGTGGCCCTGGCGCGGTCTCAGCATGACTGACCCTCTCTGACTTCCAGGCCTGGTTCTTCGTGTACTCTGCGTCCACCAGCTCGGGAGCGTCTCTAGACAGAAGGATCAGAGGGTCCCGCTCTGGACTGGTCCTGCCAACGTAAACAGAGAAGAGAACGACTCAACAGTCTGAGCTTTGCCGCCAGCTGTGGCGAGAAGACAGCGATTGTTGTATATTGTTGCAAAATAACACAAACGAATGAAGTCGCAGGACTGACCTGGAGCCTCTGAAGTATCCTTTGGACTCTTTCTTCTCCCACGGCCACTGTGCTGCAGATCTACCACGACACACGTCACGCTGTGTTCCATTAATTTCTTCTTTTGAGAATTCATGATTTATGCCATTAAATAGCCAAAATAAAACCTTACTTTTTGAGGTCATCCCTCATCAGATCCCATCTTCCCAGGCCGGTAGGGTATATGGGCCACACAGCAGGCCCTCCCTCCCAAAACGTCCACGCGGGGTACATGATGTCCTGGTAGTCCGCCGTCTGCTCAGATCAAACACGCACATTTCAAAACCAGTTATTGCTTTTAATAAACACCAGAGTGTTTTTGTTTTTTTTCAATGTGCGAGTAAAAGTGACACCTAGAGTTCTGACCTTACTGAAAGAGAAGACGGGCAGGGTCGGCTGCACCCAGCCGGGGACTTGAGGGTAATCCCTCACGTTTACCACCATCTCCAAGTCGGGCAACCTGTCAATCACCTCCAGGATGAAATGCTCCACCCCGCTGCACCTGAAAACAGACGGCAGATTTAGGCAGCGCAAACAAACAGCTGTGTGTACATATAATACTGCATATACAGCCTCTGTCATTGGGCGTGATCAAACATCACGAAGGAGTCACGTCAAGCACTTGTTTTCCTCCTTACCTGGCGGGGAACATGCAGCTGTGTTCCCTGTACAGCTTGTGTCCCACGATCTGGTAGTGGGTGCCCACCCCTCTTTGGACGGTCGCAGCCATGACATCCTCAGAGATTCTCCCTTTAAAGGGCCGCAAGTCATCCTGTAGGACCCTGGGGGTCAGAAACGGAGAGCAGCGTTGGAGGAGCAACAGAGAAATGATCAAATCCACATTATATAATTCACGCTTGCTTATGCAAAATAATTCATGCGAGGAAAAACGACCATCTTCACTGATCTAACCTTGTCCTGTAATAAGAAGGTATAATATTTAAGGAAAAGCAAAGACATCATGGCATCACACCCACCTTAAATGGCAGCTACAGTTGACAGGGTTGCACGGAGCGTGCCCTTTAACAGCATTGGAAATCGTGTCTTTAATTTTCTTCCACTGTTGACCTGCAAGCAACGGCAAACGGTGTCAGAATAAATGTTCATATCGGACCGATCCTAGAATTTACCGAAGGGTCACGTGACTGATACATCCGATTAGGAAGAGAGTTTATTGGGTCAGTAGCTCGTGAGGCTGCCCCAAAGGCTAGTGGTTCAACAAGGAGTTCAAGTGTCCTAAAAATACTTAAAATATTTTGCATTTTCACTGTTTTTATTCACACAGTGTATGATTTGTAACTGCTTACTCTCTCTGAGTAAATATTGACAGAGCATTTGTTAGTGCTAACTAGCCTTAGCTAACTTGTTACCAAAACCACACACAGCCTCAATGAATGCAATAAACATAAATTTATATTTTTCAATATTACTGTTAGCGAAACGTTTGCACGGTTAGCTTAGTTGAGTTAGCTCGTAGGCTAGTTAGCTAGCTCGTGAAGTGATGAATGACTCCCAACATCAGAAGTTGCCTCATGTAGCGACAGCGGAACTAAAAGCAACAAAGTCTCACCACATTTAAATATGGTTCCACGAGTCGTATTTGTTTGAATATGCATTACCTGACGCGGGAACCAAACATAAAACACAAAGTTGCAACAGTATTAAAAACCTCCACAGACAAAAGCACTCCATATTTCATTCTATCCTCCAGCTCTGTCTGGAGAGGAGAAACAAAGCGCGGATCTGGGATCTGTTACTTCGGGCTGAATGCCGTCATTACGGTAATGCGCACAACGAGGTTACGTTACAGGTTACGTTACCGTAACATTTGGACGACTGGCTCAAATTGGCTTTAAAGGGATGCTCCTCAGAAAAGCTGTCTTTTCTATTTCACATTCACAAACAGTCTGTTTAAATGAATGCAGTTTAGTTTTTCATTCATTTCATAGCATGAGATCTAATTTCTCAATGCACATATATTAGCATCATTGCAAATTAAATGGCTAATCAAAACATTCTCACAGTTCCTTTTTTCTCATTTCTGAATTTATGTCAAGGACATGGATGACTGCCACATGGATAATTGTCCGTGGACCGTTGGGAAGAGTTTCTCAGTCAGGGAGAGAAAAAGGGGGGAAAGAAAGAGACCCTCCTGGGAGATTTGCGGCGGTAAGACTTGAGTGACGGAGAGAGGAGGAGGAGACAGAAGACAGGTGGAGAGGGAGAGATATAGAGAGAAGCAGAGAGAGAGGGAAAATTAGATATTTGTGAGAATATTTTATATTTGCTGGGGAGGTAACAGAGATCAAATCTAGATTGTGTACGGTATACATTACACTCTTCAAGCTGGGCCCTGAGAGGTACTTTGATTTCTCTGCCAACTTTATCCCGGCTGGCGAACGCCTCCACAACCCGAAACCCGACGATGCAGCAGATGTGGCTCTCCCTGCTGTCCGGCCTTTGCCTCCACTTGGTTTTATTCTGCAGCGCAGAGGAAGGCCTGGAGTTCCCCAACTTCGACGGCAGGGACAGGGTGCTGGACGTCAGCGAGCGCAACTACAAGAAGGCTCTGAAGAGATACGACCTGCTGTGCCTGTTCTACCACGAGCCGATGCCGGCCAGCAAGGGCCTGCAGAAGCGCTTCCAGATGACAGAGCTGGTGCTGGAGGTGAGGAGGAGGAGAGCCGGAGGAGTTAAAAGATGGTCCTTTAGACTCTTTCTACATTTTAGAGATAGAACTTTCTTTTCTTAATGGTTGGTAAATCATTTGTTAGTGTTTTTGGGTTGCCAGGTTGTGAAAATTTCCTTTGGAAGTGCCTTTCTATGTGGTGATAATGCAGTTTTAAATGTTAGTAATCCATTAATAAATCATTGTTTTGTCAATTTGAATACGCTGTTAAGTCTGCAGGTGTAAATGTAAAAAGGTAATCAATAAATGGCTTTCGGTCTAACCAGTCAAAGAGATTTATCACAGACTGGAAACCCATTAGTTGTTTTTATTAATGGTTTATAAGTAATCTTATGAAATCACAATATGAAATATCTCAACAACTATTTGATGGACTGCCTGCTGTGGAATTAAAATGGACATTTCCTTAATCCTGCTCTTCGCGAGCTGACAGCCGGTCCAAAGTTTTTCATTGTTAGCTACACATACATCCCTCCAAATAATTTCATTTTCTAGGTACGCAACACCTGAACGGTGCCCAGAAGACGTCATTACTAATCAAAGATGTGTGCGTTGTGATGTACATCGCCCTGATATATCTGAGGCTGCTGGCGAGCTACAGCTCAAATCCCAGAGGGGTCACACTGCCTCGCCCATTTGACTCTGACCTGTCACAACAAGTCATAGCAGAGTCAGTGGTCCTCCCCTGGTTGGAAACAGACACTGAAGGCCTCGGTCGTCCTCTGTCTGCTTCAAGTGGAGATGGATTCACTGCTGTTTTACCTGCACAAAGCAGTGACTTTAATCCCAACATGTGCCCTCCTCTGTGCTTCACATGTATCCAGGGATTGTTTCTAGGCCACTCTGCTAATTAGAGCTCGTTCCCAAAACTCTTCACTATCTGGCTGTGAACTAGAAAGAACTACTCGCATCCCTTCCTGTCGTATTCATGAGATGAAAGTATGAGACAAGAGGATCTGTAATGAAAAGATGTAGTGACGGAGAAAGCAGCAGCAGCAGCTGTGGATGCCAGCTCAAATACACCGCATAGAAAGAAGACGGTGTTTTCATCCCCGACTGATCCACAGATTCTCTATTCAACGGTTAAAGCGATTTAATTTTCAAGGATACAGACGGTCACAAGTCTTGACTGCAAAGTCTGCTTGGGAAACGTCGCCACTCAGAAGACTTTCCTAGGCTTTTTAATGACCGTGCGACCCTTTCACAGGGTACTGACCCCCATGTTGGGAACCACTGACCCATATCGGCCTCAGTGTCACACTCCCCACTGTGAGGAAGTGTGGTGGAAGTAACACCCACTAAATCTCTTTATGGAACTGAAATTATTTATTTATTTAATAATTAAATAAAATACATAACAAATAAAATAAAATAAAATAAAGTAAAAGGTAATTAAAGCCCCCAAATTAATTAATGTATCTGGATAGAATAACTATACTTAATTTAGCCATCATGAATGACTATGAAAAGGATGTGTTGATAAATCAGTGGAGCTGTCCGTGGTGCTGAACTAGCAGACAGCTTTTTAACTCCAACTTTTTTTTACGCAATGCCATCGCTAACATGCTGAGTTACACTAGTGTGACAGCATGCTAACATTAGCTAATTAGCCCTTAACACCCTTTACATTTAAATGTAGTATCATTTGGACAGTGACTACGATCCTTAGCGAGGTGGTTCCGAATGTGTAGCACAGTGACAAAGTGCAATGTCGATTTGTAGCAGCGTTTTAAAATCATGTCCTCAAACTTTACAACAGGTGTGACACACGTGAGGTCATTTTTGTTCAAACTCAGGCAGCTGTATGTCTGAACTTTCTCTGGTTGAACACAGATTAATGTGTGGAGCATCGTTTTGACATCCCTTTTCAACATGCGTCCCTCTTATTCTAGCAATATTTTAGATGGTAAACTGATTTAAAGTGCTGCTAAAATTTAGATCAGAGTCCCAAAACATCACGTACACTTGTGGTCACAGTCAGAGTTAAGATGTGCAATGATTTTCAATGACTGTACGCTGACTGACATTTGTCTGTGTGACCGCCCAGCTCACAGCTCAGGTCCTGGAGAACAAAGACATCGGTTTTGGGATGGTGGACTCCCAGAAGGATGCCAAAGTAGCCAAAAAACTGGGTATGAGTCCTTATTCCACAGTATCAGTTGCATTTCTGTGAATGCTGAATGTCTGGACTCAGATTTAGCTTCAGTAAAATCCTGTCCCTATGCTTCCTTTCTCTAAAACGTGAAGCCCTATAATGAGCTTTCTTAAACTCACACACTCCTGCTGTTTAATTAGGTCTGGAGGAGGTGGGCAGCTTGTACGTCTTCAAGGGCGACCGGGTCATCGAGTTTGATGGGGAGCTCTCAGCAGACACACTCGTGGAGTTCCTGTTGGATGTGAGTGAACAATCGGGTTCGGCTATTTAAAAGAATTCTTAATGTGTAATCTTGGCAGCCACTGAAAGAAGAAATCTTCAAGCAATTAACAGCTGCAGCCTCATGAAGGTAAAGGGATTTTTACATGAATACATTTTAAAGAATAGTTTGACAGATATATTAACCGGGAGAGTTTCATGCCGAGGAAAAATGAATGTGCCTCTCACTTCCGGAGCCAGCCATTCCCAATTTCCAAACTGTATTTGCCTATTCACGCTCCTGCGGAGAGGTAGATGTACATCAAATATTGAGACTACAGCCAGCAGCCGATAAGCTTAGCTCAGCATAAAGAGTGTAATCAGGGGAAACGGCTAGCCTGGCTCCGCATGAAGGTACAAAAGTTCTAAGCCTCGCCGAGAAAGCAGGTTTTCAAAATTTGTTGACCGTTTCTTAGCAGTGAAAACCGCTTACCTGTGTCATACCGCCCCCTAGGTGCTGGAGGACCCGGTGGAAATGCTCAACAACGCCATGGAGCTACGGGCCTTCGAGAGGATGGAGGAGGACATCCGCCTCATTGGCTACTTCAAGGGAGAAGATTCACGTTAGTTTACCACCGAACCCGTGCCGGCGTCTATTTTATGTGATTTATCAATGCATTTGTGTTTCCATTAACAAGCATAAGGAGTGTGTGATGGGGTAAAAAAAAAAAATACATCTACACTGTTCCTCTGTCCTCTTAAGGTTGCCTCACTGTGTTCCCCAGACGCTGATGGGATCTAGAGGCTAATGGAGCTACATCACCATGCTAAAGGGAAACCTGATTCCAGACTGTGGCGCTCTCAATCCCACAAGAGCCTTTAAATAGCTTCTAGTTCTCTGTCTAATAGGTCAAACTGCAATTATAGTTCCTCTAAAAAAAAGAAATGGGAGAAAAAGTGAGAGAGGGAAGATGCTATCTGGTCCGATATGACAGTGGCATGAAGTTTCATTATGGAGCCTATTTCTGTCCAGAGATAGGTTGGTCCTTGGTCGTGACCTTGCTGGGAGCAGAGCCAGCAGCGTGTTACAAGCGTATAAAACTGTATTAAGGGAGACGTTGTTACTTTGGGCGAGGACGGTAGAATCATGATGGGAAATTGAATGAAGCGAGTGCGTTTCACCGCTTGCCTCCTCGATCACATACGGTAGATTTGGGCTGTGGATGTGAGCAGAATGGGAGTGATGAAGTCACACACTTGAATCTGTTTTTACTTTCTCTACTTCGGTTTCAGCCAGTTCCTTCTCTCTCTCTCTCTCTCTCTCTCTCTCTCTCTCTCAGACTACAAAGCTTTTCAGGAGGCCTCGGAGCGTTTTCAACCTTACATCAAGTTCTTTGCTACATTTGATAAATCTGTAAGTCCTTATCTGTATTCATAGCGTCCTAATCCAAGGATCTCTGTTAAACCCACTTTTGATTCCTCTCACACTGCTTGTTAATACACTGTTATAGTCTTGACATTTGGGGATATAGACCTACACTCATTTGCTTTCTTGCAGAGAGTTCGATGAGAAGATCACAGCTAAGTATGAAGCTACAGCAAGCAGCTGGTTAGCTTAGCATAAAGACTTGAGATGGGGAGGGACTACTTTTTGTCCAGAAGCAGTGACTTCCTCTGAAGCTCACTAAGTAACACTAGTAATTAGTAAGCTTTAGAGGTGGCGGTAGAGCCCGGCTAGAAGGTTCCCCTTGTTTCCAGTTTTTAAGCTAGGCTAAGCTAAGCTAACAGCTTTATATTAAGCATTTAAGCACAAGAGTCGTATCAATCTTCTCATCTAACTCTTAGCTAAACAAATCACGTAACCCAATTTCCCAACAATCTTTTTATGAATTGCAACACAGCCAAATTATGGGAGTTAGCTCCTTTGTTTTTTCAAGTTTGAGCTTTTACTGTAAAACGCCTCATCAGAAAATACATTTTGGAGTTTTCCGTTTGTCGAGCTTTAACAAATAAATAATATCCCCCACCCGCTCATCATAGTGAAATCCTTCCCCGTCGTGTGTTTTTAAGGTAGCCAAACATCTCTCCCTCAAGATGAACGAGGTGAATTTCTACGAGCCGTTCATGGAGGAGCCGGCCATCCTGCCTGGCAGACCTCTGTCAGAGATGGACATCGTCGAGTTCGTCAACCAGCACAGAAGGTCGAATTAGATTGAAATCTTTTCAGGGTCACTTCAACGCCGTTAACACTTGGTTAAACATTTGCTCTTTACAGGGCTACTTTGAGGAAGCTCCGGGCAGAGAATATGTTTGAAACATGGGTGAGTAGTTTCGGTCTCAGAGTGTCTTAAGCGGTTTTGAGGTGCAGTACCGAATGTTTTTTTTAATTCCCAGGAGGACGACATGGACGGAATACATATTGTGGCGTTTGCAGAGGAGGAAGATCCAGGTCTGTGCCTTTGTTTCTCTTTCTGCAGTTGTTTCCCTCCTTATTTTCATTAGCACCTGAAGCTGAACTCAGGTTATCTGTTCTGTCGTCCCCAGATGGCTATGAGTTCTTAGAGATCCTGAAAGACGTGGCAAGAGACAACACCAACAACCCAGAGCTCAGCATCGTCTGGATCGACCCCGACGACTTCCCTCTGGTTCTGCCTCATCATTCGCTTCATATCTCCAACAAGAGAATCTAATCAATTTTTCACTGATAAGTTGTCTAAGTTAACTTGTCTCGCCCCCTTCCAGCTGACAACTTACTGGGAAAAAACCTTCAAGGTGGACCTGTTCAGACCTCAGATTGGTGTGGTCAATGTCACAGATGTAAGTAGTGGTTCAAATCTTAAGACTTCACTATAGCGGATCAACTCACCTTGACTTTCTCGGTGCTCCCATGTGCCAGGCGGACAGCGTGTGGCTGGACATGTCCAACGACGAGGACCTGCCCACCCCCGAGGAGCTGGAGGACTGGATAGAGGATGTCCTGTCGGGGAGGGTGAACACGGAGGACGACGACGAGTCTGCCGACGACCAGGAGAACCCCGACAACTACGTCCCGGAGGACAGCTACGAGAGTCACGACCCAGAGGAGGAAGACGACGGCGACGACTAACCGGAATGTCAAGGCAGTTCAGACCTGGGTCAGAAAACTGAACTCGTTTGCTACATTAGAACCACATCACTGACAAATTCAATTGTTTTGTAAGTGAAGTTAAAAGGAAATGTAGTCTCCCAAAAAATAAACTCTGTAGACTGGTTTAAATAGTTAGGCAGATAAAACAGAACTGATTGAAGGTCATCACGTGTATATTAAAGCTCCATTAAGAGATTTTGGCCATTTGGGGGCAGCGCAATAAACTGTAACCCGTTATCACCCTTTAAGTTGTTATAGCCAACGTGTTAGCAAACACATCCAGCAGACGCGAAGCAGCATTAGCATGTGTAGTCAAATGATTAATCAATATGTTAATATAAACATATTGATTATAAGCTTTAAGGTTGACGTAAGTGACAAGATGAATTATGTGTGAGAATAAATGACAATGTTTTATGTTCTTTTAGGTAGAAACAAAGCTTGAACTGTTGTTTTAGGATTAAATAAAAGTCCAGACGACCATGTGCACCTGTCTTAATGTGAACCACCTCTGCTGCTTTTCAAGGCTTGTATGCAGACAGTTCTCCCCCTCATTAGAAAGGTCCAGACCGAGGCTCAAGACAACAGATTGGCACATTTCCTCCCTCGGTCAACAAGCGTGAATTATTCAAACGTCGGTGAATAATTCAGCATCATTATGCCTCCTAATGGGAGAACAGACCTGGACGGGGGAGGCTAGGGGGGAGTTGGGGTGAGGATAAACTAGCGAGCGGACACACTCCTGCTGGACATGAATTAATAATACGGGGCCTTGCGAGAATCTCTATTTCCCCTGGAGGTGGATGTGATGCAGTGTGTCAACAGGATGTTTGTATCGCGGCGTGAGATTCAAACATAATCCACACAGCCGCGTCTGAGGGAGGAGAGAGATGTGTGCGCGCATCTAAACGTGACCCGAGGCAAGAAGACGTGTCGCCATCTCTCCAGAGGGGGAGAAGAAACAAGGAAGCAGACGGTGTCACGGTGCAACCGGGGCCTTTAGGTGACATAATCCCTGTGAATGTCAAGTGTGGTGGTGTTTTACATGAGCGCTGACTAAAGGGAGGAAGGCAGGAGAACTGAAGTCTCACCTCCTCCTCCTCCTCTCCCGGAGAGAGGAAGGATGACAGCGTCAGGTTCAATGAAAAACGAGCAAAGAGCGCAGAAAAAGACGGGCGCGAGACGTGTGGAGGTGTAGGTTTCTGTTCCAATCTAAAGCTGTGGAAGGATTTCCTCTCACGTAGCCAAAGTCATTACCAAACTAATAGAGACGGGGGGATGAGGGGAAGGAAAACATTCCATTTAGATGCAAATGCACTTCATCTTCCTGAGGGGGGTTCTTAAGACGAGGACAGATGAGTTCCGACAGGCCGGCCTCACGCTCGCGGAGGTATGAGGCTGTTTGTTTTTGCAGCGCCTGGACACCCAACATTCATTTACCCGCAAGGCCGCTCTGACAGGCCGACGGCAAAGCCAATTACCTTTGAGCTTCCCGACAAAAAAAAAAAAAAAGCCACCAAATCACAGCCAGACGAGCTGGAATGTGGCTCCGGCGTGACACACGGCAGGGCCGGGACGCGTAATGGGCAGCGACAGAGCAGAGTGCTGGCGTAGACGAGAAACTAGTGCATATGGAGATGCTGAGGAGGGAGTGTGAAACAATGGGGGAGAGGTAATGAAAGAGAAAGTAAAATGCCATGCAGTTTGATTGCCGGGAGAACAGGACAAATCCAAATCAGCAGTGGAAAACTTTGCTTTCTACGGGAGCCTAGAACGGTCACGGTCACAATAATCAGATAAAGTGGTAAAAAACACCTTAAAATGACAAAATAATGTTACATGTGCCCTTTAATTTGTACTCAACAGAGCTGTAATTATCAGTTAAATATGCCCTCAAAATCATGTTGAAAATATAACAATTGGTTAAGGTAAATAAAAGGAAAATAAATTAATTTTAGAAGCTTAATACAAAAAGAGACAATAAAAAGCCTCAATAGACCAGAATGCAATGCAGCAATTAAAGGCACAGTGTTAAGGATTTGTTGGTGTCTAGCAGTGCGGTTGCAGATCGCAACCGACTGAATATCCCTTCACTCGCTCCAACGATTCTCATTTTCAGGTGATTATAGACGAATGAAAACATAGTTATGAATATCATATTTAATTTCTGCCAATCCCCCGACATCCTACACACTGGCCCTTTAAGCATGTTGGGTTTTGAGCACACAGTCCTCATTTTCACAAATACGTTTGGTGCCTTGAAAGTATTCACACACTAACCAGAGCCACCTTTTAACTGGAAGTGAAAACTTCATGCTCCAGAGGCATTCTGGGATATGTAGGAAAAAAGCAGTGAAGCACAAAACAAGGCCTCAAACTCATTTGTTTCCACATGGTCCCATACAGCAGCTTTCACAAATGTTCATAAAAATGTTTTTTTTATTTTTATACAAATGCTAATACCTGTGAAAGTGAAACACGTCTTGCATTGCAATGTCACGTCATCATCACAGAGCTGTCCCGACAAAAACAGAGGATTTTTAACCCGGCAACAGCGTGGCAGACGGCGGTGATGTAGAGGGGGGGGGGCTGGTCGTGTGAACTGGAATGGCATACACACACACACACACACACATGCTTGTTTACATAAATAGTTACAGTGTAAAAACAGGCAGCAGTCACATTTGGATCATACAAAGTTCATCTGTCAGTAGGTACAAAATGTGACCAGAGCGTCAAATAAAGAAGTCGTTTTTTTTGTTTTTGCGTTCTTCCCAGGTGCTTTGACAGTGAACAAATGTTTTTTCTTACATGAACAGCATCTTTGTGTTTTATATTTCTTTATGGAAACATGTTGCTGTTCCCCTCAGGCAGACAAAACGGATAGTTTTAGTTCAGCCGCCAGGGGGCAGTAGGGGGCAGCCATGCTCGGAGCCACTGAAGATAATATCACTGACACATTTTCCTTCTTGAGTGAGTCACACTTTGGTGGATCTGCCATTAGCTGGATTCTTCTGGCTGATGCATCGGGTGAAAGAAAATAACTCCTCTCTGACCTCGAGGGATTCACTGCGAGCGTGTTTGTCAGAGAACAGAGGTGAGACAAGGTAGTGAAGGAAAACCAGACGGTCCTGTTGGGAGGGAGTTTCCGCCCCACTGCAGCTCTCACTATTGATACTCTCTCAGGCAAAACGCTGAGAGATTAAATCATGTTTGATGCCGTAAATAAACTGTGGCCTTTATTGTGTTGATACAATCAGTCCATTTCCACAGCACCAATTTTCCCATTTAAAGTCTTGCGGCCTGGGTTGTCTAGCGTTTACCACATAACTGCAACATACATGGTTTGATTCTCAACTGAGGACCTTTTGTTACATGTCAGAAGCTTCCTGTCTCTCTACACGGCTGCCTACAGAAGCCCTGAGAGGGGAACAAACATTCTGGTGATCCACTTTCTAAATTATTTTCTCTTTGTTATTTTTCATCTGTGAAACAGGCGGGGGAAAATAACGTTTTGGATGATCATTTTTTGATCATTTTTTTTAAGTTACTTTGTTCACCTGTTACACATTTGTTTTGTGTTTGTTGCTGTAATACTCATTTTGGCCACAAGAGGCTGAAGTGCATCACTACCCAATGTTCTGACTGAAAGGCATTCATGTTTTCTTTCAGGTGAGTTTTAATTTACATAACTCGCTAACACACAATACATGAACCTTAAATGAACTGACCGAGGAGAAAACATGAATGCTTTCACAACACTTTTTTCCCAACTCGTGTTACAGATTATTCTTTTCATCAGGAACCTCAAAAGAAAAAATATTCTAGCAAAACCTTTGTTTCCCCAGTTCTTAAGTCATAAACTCTGGGAAAAAACAACTTAGATCAGACTTAGAAAACGGATCACCACCGAATTTTTCTTCCCCTTGTGGGAAAGCTTTTAATGTGAAAATAAAAAGAGGAAGTGTTGTTTGTTGCTGGTAGTTCAGGAGAACAACAAAGCAGAAACAGCTGGAGAGCAGCTAGAACAACAGAAACTCTAACAGCAGAGTGGTGAGTTTGACACCACTCTGCTGTACTGACTGTGTCAATAAACCTCACACTAGATTTACCAGCTGTTGCAGTAGAGTTCAGGTAATTCCAGCCCGTCAATGTTTTTATCACCTGGGCTTCATTAGCTTACTTGAAAACCAGCTCCTATAAGAGAATTTACTATATTTCGATTTCTCTGCTGTGTAATAACCCACATAGGGGGGAATTCTCCTTTGGAGTAATCAGTAGTACTTTTTTTTATCCGCGACATCGTGGCCCCGTCTGTCCTCCTCGCTGCCTCCTTTTCCGCCGTGTCGGGCAAACGTGAAAGCCCCGAGGAGGTTACTGAACCGACGAGGCGGGGCAAATGTTTTTCGGGCTTTGCCCCGGTGTTAAAACGTGCCGCGTGTCTGTGTTTCTTCCCAACTGGAGTGGAAACGTATCTCTGATTTTGCTCCATTGCACCTGCAGAAGAATCGGGACGAGAGTCGAGGGAAGTGTTTGTCCGGAGCGCGACAGATGTAGAAGCAGTGATGAGGAGATAAAACAGTCTGAGATCACATGTTCCGTCCTTTCAAGGTGAATTATTTTCATTTATAAAACATACATAGATGTGCATTTAATGCAAAGTCTGATTGATGTTGTTTTTTTTGTCAAATGCAATACTTTCAAATGTTGCAGACGAGGATATCTGTCACGTGTTTCCGTTGGGCTTAAAAACAACCTAAATCCAAGTCACACCATCGCGGTCATTAGTGGTTTGTCCGTCCGTCCGTCTCGTGGAAATAAAGGAGCGACCGGAACAGCGGAGTCTCTGTGTGGATTTCAGAAACCTTAAACGCTCCCGTCTTGTTTGGCTCAAACAGAAAAAAGGAACGAGTGATTGTGCATCATTCCTGCCTCTTTCTTTCCATTTCATCCAAATCAAAACATAAAAAAAGATCAATATATTCAAACATGAGTGTAATATTAAGATTCATATAATATATATATATATAAAAAAAATAAAAAACTGCAAACCCAAAGTGAAAACATTTGAGAGCCACAAAACAGAGTGAGAGAATTAAAAAACAGTTCGGGGTCCTACACGGAGGTTTCCGACTGTAGCCGCAGCACGAACTTGTGCGACTTGGGGTCGATGTATTCCTCCGACATCTGGATGTAAGGGATCCTCTTGGTCGTCACCACCAGGCTGAAGTCCCCGCACCGGAGCAGGAAGGTGGAGCCGTCTTTCAGGCCGCTGGTGACCGACGCCTCGCTGATCAGCGTCCACCGGCGGGCCAGCCAGTGGTCCCGGCTGTACTGCAGGGTGGGACCTGGGGTCAGGTAGCACTCCAGGAACGCCTGGGCGGGGAGGGAGACACACACACAGTTATCACAGCTCAGAATGAGATGTCAAGCTCACGTGGGACAGAATAAAAAATAAAATAAAAAAACCTTGGGCGTCATGTTGTTGGTGATGCAGAAGGCCAGGTGCTGCTGGATGCTCTCCATGCTGTGGCAGTGCTGCTGCTTGGTGGTCCTCAGGTACTTCTGCAGGGCGCGCGCCATGGACGGGAAGATGGCCTGCGCCGCCTCGCGGGGGTCCATCACGTCCCCCGGGGCCTTCTTCTGCTCCTCCTCCTGCATGCGCTTGATGTGCGTGAACGCCTCCTCCACCGCCACCACCAGTCTGGAGAGGGAAAGAAAAAAAGAAAGCGTTTCACTCAAAGATGGAAATATTCTGTCGTTTTTTTCTCGTGTTTGTCTTAGCGCCGAGACGGCTCGGGAACCAAATTACCGTGCTTTGCGCTTGCGAACGCGCCTCTCGTGCTCCGCCTCCTCGTAGTACAGCTCGTTGTGGCTGGTGTCCCTGCGGCGGGCGGCGGCCGCGATCATGGCTCTGGACTGGGAGTGGGCCATTCCTGCTGCCGCTGCTGCTGCCGCGTTGTTCCCCGGACCTGTCGAGGACATAAAAGATGAGACAGGGATTTCTTAAAAGCCTTAAAGACGAAAGGTAATGGAACAAAGAAATCCTTGGTGATGACATAAAGATGCAATGTGCTTTTAGAGTGGGGGGGGGTAGATCATTGATGCACATACACCACGGTTCCTTTTATCACCCGCAATATCAAAGCTGACATGAAAAGCCGCACAAAGTCGTAATATTTATAATATTTAATTGTTCCGAGCACCGTGATCATTGGAAAATCTAACCACGCTGCTCGCCCACGCGTTGCTATTGATATTCAAGCATTCCCTTTCCTCTGCCACTCGGTGCCTTCAGGAGTCTAATTAAAAAAGCATCTCGGGCAACTTCAAAAGTTGACTTTTTTTTCTTTGGAAGGAGGATGGGAGGCTGCTGATGAACCACTGGCTGGTGTTAATGCAGGTTAAAAGAAGGCAGAGCCGCTGAATTATTAATGCGGGGCAGGGATCGTGAACAGAATAATTCATGGGCGGGGAGAAGAGGGAGTTTAGAAGCGCACCCTGCGCTCACTTTTACTGCACTTAGATGGGATTCATGGGTGAGAGGTATCCTGCTGAAAGCCATGTGTTGCCATGTCAGGAGCAGGTAAACCTGGGATGTGTTGAACCGCTTTCTGTACGGAAGATTTCAAACGTCTTAATAACAAGAAATCAAACAAAGTAATGCAGTGAAGCGTTATAGCGGTCACGTATAGACCCACGTAAACTAAAAAGGAGCAGAACTCCTTGTAATAATAAAAGTAGCGTGATGAATGAATCCAAATGTATGTGTTTTCTGTGTGGTGATTAAATATGATGATGTGATTTTAATGAGGCATGGAATCAGCTATTACAGGCAAAAGTCTAAATAATTGTCCTTTTAATATGTTTTTATTTAATTATTTCAGGAACCGTATTTCAATGTGTTTTGTCGGCACTTTTAATCCCCGATATGGGAGCGGAGAAAACAACACGGAGACGAAATTCGCTCGTCGGGCGTCATGAAAATCACCTGGGCCCATTTGGATGCAGCGTAAATGAACGTTATGGCCGCTTTGTGCCCCGGGGGTGGGGGTGGGAGGTGGGGGGGCTTCACCACTCTTTAATCAAGGAAAGATTATCGTCTGTCCCGGAGTTCGACTTATTTATTGCAACGCTGGTGCGGCTGCAGAGAGAGGAGGAGTGGGAGGGAAAAGCTCCAGACATGAGAGAGAGACAGACAGACGGAGGGAGAGACAGACAGAGAGAGAGAGAGACAGACAGACAGACAGATGGAGAGAGAGACAGACAGACGGAGAGAGAGAGAGAGAGACAGAGAGAGAGAGAGAGAGAGAGAGACAGACAGACAGACGGAGAGAGAGAGACAGACAGACGGAGAGAGAGAGAGAGAGAGACAGACAGACGGAGAGAGAGAGAGACACAGACAGACAGACAGACGGAGAGAGAGAGAGAGAGACAGACAGACAGACAGACAGCGTAATAGCTATTGATTTATCGGCCGTCTCCCACGAACATTTAAGAGGAGGCGGAAGAAAGGATGGAGACAAACTGCAGGAGGAGGAAAAGAACAAACTGGGGAGGGAGTAAAGTTAGTGCACTGAAGTGAAGCTTGAGCACCCTTCAGGGAGAGCGATAACTTAATACAGAGGGCTTGTGCTAGTCTGCCAGCTGTTGTGAGGACGACTTTGAACCTTTTTTTTTTTTTCCATCAACCTGTGGCATGCAAGCGAGTGTGTGTGTGAAGCATCACTTCTGTGTGAAAAGGAGGTGTAGCTTCAAGGACACCGAACGTGCACATGATTTAAGGAGAGCTTTTATAAAGTGAACAAAAGGTGCTTTGGTTGGTTTACTTACTGTCAAAAAGGTAGGCTTTCAGTTTAGCTCTAAAGGCGTCTTAAAGGGTTAGCGTCGGTGTGAGGGGGACACATAAGGAGAGAGCGTTTGAGGCGGGTATCAGATAACCACAGGTGTCGTAGCGCATCGGCTACAAATCACTCTACGTTCCCTGACAACACATTCTCAGCGCATTCTCAGCGCTGTGTGGAAGTCAACATGCAGAGACTTGATGTGTGTCAAGGTGATTTTTCCTGTTATACTGAAATGAATGCAAACGAATGGCTGGCTGGAAGTATCGATGGAAGATATGAATCGAAAAAACTAAAAAGATGAGACAATAATGAAAATAATTAATGTTAGCTGCAGCCCTATAATAATCTAAAGCAAGTAACGCTACACATTATTTAAAAATGAGGACCTCTTGTGTGTTATAGTGGATATACAGAGTGATACAGATTACAGCATGACCCCAGCATATATGTTAGAGACACAGAAAACACAGAGTTCAAAGACCGGACCACTCACCCTCAGCGGGGGCTGCTGGGAACTCACCATCCACGTTGTAGACCTTGAGGCCGGCCAGGTGCTTGGCGGCGCGGGACTTGGAGGCGGAGAGCAGCGCCGGGTTGTGCACCGGGAAGTCGCAGTAGTAGCGCTCCAAGATGGCCAGAGCCGCCCGCTGGATGCTGCAGAGAGGAGAGGAGTCAAAGAGGAGCTTTAGGCCGAGGGGGGAACGTTAGGAAGTTTAAATCCGGTTGGCTCTATGCCAGCGTGAGAGGTTGAGCTCTAAGAGCGGAGAGAGTTACGTGATAGACACTAGGAAACAACCTACTGAGAGACTAAAAAGACTCATCACAAGAGGAACAGGATAGAGGGAAGGATGTAGGACATGTCAGATTTCTGCATTTCCTTGTTTCCTTAAGCACTTCTAATACAGGCTACAGATGTTGACAGCTGTTGGCTGACCCACAACACCACTTTCCTGCTGAACAATGGGCCCTTTTCTCCTCCAGCTTGTGTGGACTTCATTCATAGGTGTGAGAGCCCTCGTTGTGTCCTGTGTCGTTCTGCGGGGCCACGTGAAGAGCTAACTCGATATACATGACAGATTGTTAAATGTTTGCACCTCCCGTCACGCCAAATTCCTTGTATGTTCAACATACATGGCAATAAACGGTTCTGATTCTGATGATCAACGGCACATGCTAGCCTGCTGCATGCGCTTCCTATTATCCCGGAGGAGGATCACAGTGTGATCTCTCAACTTTTCTGCCATCTCGTAGCTTCAGCTCCGTCCTCAGAACAAACTGTACATTAAGTGGTGGGGTCATTAGAAATACCACAGGCAGACGCAAGCCGCCCAGACTCTGCCGAGAGTCACATGTACTGCGCGACATCATGACGGGCTAACAGAGTTACAACGGGGATCTTTAGATTGGCGCTCATTTCTGCCAAAAGGGGCGGCAAAGAGACTGGTGGCCGCTCCCCTGGTCAACTCTGCATTCAAACAGACAGGACCATTGTTTAGTCGGAGTTCTAACGCTTCCCGACTACGGTCAATCATTAAAGCCGAGCAAACATGACAGAAAACCACTCCGAGCGAGCAGCTCCGCTGGCCTTACGCGGAAATAAAGACCAACTGGAGACCATCTCCAACGTTGCTGCTCAGGACTGGCCAGTCAGGGAACGTGACCCCCACACCCCCCCTCTCTGGCTGTGAGGAATGCGTTCATATTCAACTCGTCAAAAAGGATTCCTCCGGCCCTCCAGATTGGCATCAAAGGCCAGGCAGACGGAGACAAGCCTTCGGGGCCCCGGGGGCCCTCGGCCATTATGATAAGGAAAACCATGCCAGAAAAAAAAAAAAAAAAAAAAACAGGAATGAAAGCAGCAGCCGCCCTTCTGCTGGTGGAGGAGATACATGAGAGAAAACACACACGTTTATGTCAGTGCTTCTCTGTATGATGCATGTTTGTGGCTGCATGTGCATGAATAATGTGTGTGTGTGTGTGTGTGTGTGTGTGTGCCGGCTGACCAGATGCTGCGCTCCGGTCTGCAGGGGAGCGCTAATTAGCCACGTGTTTACAGTCGCAGACTGACAACAGAGCGAGGACGGGCACGCTGCCGGCCAAGCACCATGAATGGAGCAGCTTACAAAGGACAACACCCCCCGAGCAAGTCGGCTCACACACCGACCAGACCATTACACACACACACACTCTCTCACACACACACACACACACACACACACACACACACACACACACACAC